GCCACCTTCATCTCCACCACCTCCGCCACCTCCAGCTCCATCACCACCACCTCCACTTTCCCATTCCTCTTCCCCACCATCTTCCCCGTCATCTTCCCCTTCCTCTTCCCCACCATCTTCCCCGCCACCTTCATCTCCACCACCCCCACCACCTCCATCACCTCCACCTTTGCCATCTGAAGAAGTAATGTATTTCTAAAGCACTGAAGTATATTTGAAACAATCAGTTCATAGCTCTTACATTTAATAGGCTATGTCTTTTTTGCCTAAAACTGCAAATTCAGTCAAGGGATTCAAGATTTAAATTGCTTTATTGCCATGGAAACAAACACCATACATGGTTTCAAACAAACACATTTTGTTTGTTCTTCTTATTATTTTTATTATTATTATTATTGATATTGAAATTTATATCTAAAATTAGATTTCACCAGTATTGTTTGTTAATTTTGTATTTGCTTTTTCCTTCTCTCTGGTACTTTGCCGATGACGAGGCAGAGAAGGACTGATTTTTTCCTTTATTTGTAAATTATTTATATTTATAATTTACTAAATAAATATTTTTACTTACCTTAACTATGGACTCAGTTGTTATTTCATTTTACTTTATGGATATGTGTGTACAAACTTCAACAAGTTCAAAAAAATGTGATTGGTTTTATCCTGTTTTAATTTAATATTACTAACTGTTCATTTGAACTTTTAATGTTACACCTAATTGATCAATATTTGAAGTCTTATATTTTAATAAACACACACACACACGCTTCCTCCCGATAGTCAAGTTTGATCGTCTTCTCGGCGCTCCACCAGGGCCCGCGAGGAGCCTTGGCGGGGCCGATCCGAGGACCTCACTAAACCATCCAATCGGTAGTAGCGACAGGCGGTGTATACAAAGGGCAGGGACTTAATCAATGCAAGCTTATGACCTGCGCTTACTGGGAATTCCTCGTTGATGGGAAATAGTTTCAATCCCCAGTCCCGATCACGAGCGGGGTTCAGCGGGTTACCCGCGCCTCTCGGCGCAGGGTAGACACACGCTGATCCGCCCATTGTGGCGCGCGTGCAGCCCCGGACATCTAAGGGCATCACAGACCTGTTATTGCTCCATCTCGCGTGGCTGAACGCCACTTGTCCCTCTAAGAAGTTGAACGCCGACCGCACGGGGCCGCGTAACTATTTAACAAGCCGGAGTCTCGTTCGTTATCGGAATGAACCAGACAAATCGCTCCACCAACTAAGAACGGCCATGCACCACCACCCACAGAATCGAGAAAGAGCTATCAATCTGTCAATCCTTTCCGTGTCCGGGCCGGGTGAGGTTTCCCGTGTTGAGTCAAATTAAGCCGCAGGCTCCACTCCTGGTGGTGCCCTTCCGTCAATTCCTTTAAGTTTCAGCTTTGCAACCATACTCCCCCCTGAACCCAAAGACTCGTGGTTGTCCAGCAGTTTCATGTGCATCGGAGCTCGTGAAATGGCTTAATTTGCATAAAAATGCACTGTCCACGGAAAGCCTGTGGAGGCCCCATCAAATAAGTTACGGGTGGGCAAGTGACAAGTGACAGCTGTAACTTATTTGACGGGGCCTCCACAGGCTTTCCGTGGACAGTGCATTTTTATATTTTGTTTGTTCTTCTTATTATTTTTATTATTATTATTATTGATATTGAAATTTATATCTAAAATTAGATTTCACCAGTATTGTTTGTTAATTTTGTATTTGCTTTTTCCTTCTCTCTAGTACTTTGCCGATGACGAGGCAGAGGAGCACTGATTTTTTCCTTTATTTGTAAATTATTCATATTTATAATTTACTAAATAAATATTTTTACTTACCTTAACTATGGACTCAGTTGTTATTTCATTTTACTTTATGGATATGTGTGTACAAACTTCAACAAGTTCAACAAAATGTGATTGGTTTTATCCTGTTTTAATTTAATATTACTAACTGTTCATTTGAACTTTTAATGTTACACCTAATTGATCAATATTTGAAGTCTTATATTTTAATAAACACACACACACACGCTTCCTCCCGATAGTCAAGTTTGATCGTCTTCTCGGCGCTCTGCCAGGGCCCGCGAGGAGCCCCGGCGGGGCCGATCCGAGGACCTCACTAAACCATCCAATCGGTAGTAGCGACAGGCGGTGTATACAAAGGGCAGGGACTTAATCAATGCAAGCTTATGACCTGCGCTTACTGGGAATTCCTCGTTGATGGGAAATAGTTTCAATCCCCAGTCCCGATCACGAGCGGGGTTCAGCGGGTTACCCGCACCTCTCGGCGCAGGGTAGACACACGCTGATCCACCCATTGTGTCGTGCGTGCAGCCCCGGACATCTAAGGGCATCACAGACCTGTTATTGCTCCATCTCGCGTGGCTAAACGCCACTTGTCCCTCTAAGAAGTTGAACGCCGACCCGGCAGCAGGACACTCTGAGCTATCAATCTGTCAATCCTTTCCGTGTCCGGGCCGGGTGAGGTTTCCCGTGTTGAGTCAAATTAAGCTGCAGGCTCCACTCCTGGTGGTGCCCTTCCGTCAATTCCTTTAAGTTTCAGCTTTGCAACCATACTCCCCCCTGAACCCAAAGACTCGTGGTTGTCCAGCAGTTTCATGTGCATCGGAGCTCGTGAAATGGCTTAATTTGCATAAAAATGCACTGTCCACGGAAAGCCTGTGGAGGCCCCGTCAAATAAGTTACAGCTGTCACTTGTCACTTGCCCACCCGTAACTTATTTGATGGGGCCTCCACAGGCTTTCCGTGGACAATGAATTAACAAGTCATAATTTAAGTTTATAATCATTTTATTATGCAAAACGTACAGTGCTACACTCGGGAAACGTGGATTTTGGTGACTTTCAACACTGCATGCCCACCCATAACTTGTTTGAAGGGGCCTCCACAGGCTTTCCGTGGACAATGCATTAACAGGTCATATGTCATAAGCGCTGCAAGTGCCCACATGCAAATTATTTGACGGGTGCCTTCACAATGGGATAAGTTGCAAGTGTCAGCGGCTCCCGGAGGCCCGAGGGGCCTCCAGTTTCACAAGAAGTTGCGTCACTCGGCCCCCAATGACATACTGAGAGGGCAAGGTCGGGAGATGCCAAGAAATATATTTCTTTGCTCTCCGTACAACTCTCTGTCTCTCATAGGCCTCTGTTGGGTAAGGGCCTGTGCAGCAGCTACTTTCTCAGTGCCCGATTGGCTCGGGAAGCGTCCAGGGCCACGAAACTCAGGGACCCGATTCGGGGGGCCCTGACAGTCCCCCGTGATGAATCTCGGGGCCCTGCGACCTTCGTGACCCCTGCGTTTCCCACGTGCCACCCCCAACTTATTCAATGGAAACTCCACAGGTGGTTCGCGGTCAAGGGGGTCTTTTTCGGCCGATCAGGCAGGTGCGGACACGGAATGCCGGACGCTGTCCCGGGGGACCGTGACGTGACGTATATGTCAATTTTGGGGCGATCGGACCTTTCTGTACGCTGTCCGAGAAACACCTATGAAAACGAATGGAATAAGTTGCACGTGTCAGCAGCCCCCGGAGGCCCAAGGGGCCTCGAGTTTCACGAGGAGTTGCGTCACTCGGCCCCCGACAACATACCGAGAGGGCTAGGTCAGGTGATGCCAAGAAATATTTTTCTTTGCTCTCCGTACAACTCTCTGTCTCTCATAGGCCTCTGTTGGGGAAGGGCCTGTGCAGCAGCTATTTTCTCAGTGCCCGATTGGCTCGGGAAGCGTCTAGGGCCACGACGCTCCGGGACCCGATTGGGGGGGCCCTGACGGTCCCCCGTGATGAATCTCGGGGCCCTGCGACCTTTGTGACCCCTGCGTTTCCGACGTCCCACCCGCAACTTATTCAATGGAAACTCCACAGGTTGTTCGCGGTCAGGGGGGGTCTTTTTCGGCCGATCGGGCAGGTGCGGACACGGAACGCCGGACGCTGTCCCGGGGGACCGTGACGTGACATATATGTCAATTTCGGGGCGATCGGACCTTTCTGTCCGCTGTCCGAGAAACACCTATAAAAATGAATGGAATAAGTTGCACGCATCAACGGCCCCCGTTCGGCCCCCGGGGGTCCTAGGGGCCCCAAACTTCACGTGCCGGTAGCGTAGGGGCCCCCGAACAACATATCGCGCAGACAAGCGTCTATCCCGAACACAAAGCCATTTGTGCACATTTGGCAAAGATCTCTCTCATAGGCCTTTTCGTCACATAGCCCCTATGACCCTCTCGAATGAATCGAAGTGCCCTGATGTGAAAAGTTGGCTGAACTGCAGAAACGCACGCTTAGAAGCGATCTAGGACTACGAACCTCTGGACCCCGGGTCGGGGGCCCCTAGGCTACCGCCGTACCGAATTTCGGGGCTCTGCGAACTTTTGACCCCTGCGTTTCTCACGTCCCACCCGCAACTTATTTAAATGGGAACTTCACAGGTGGTTCGCGGTCAAGGGGGTCTTTTTCGGCCGATCGGGCATGTGCGGACGCGGAACTCCGGACGCTGTCCCGTGGGACAGTGACGTGACGCATATGTCAATTTCGGGCCAATCGGACCTTTCTGTCCCGCTGTCCGCGAAACACCTGAAAACGAATGGGATGAGTTACACGCGTCGTACACCGTCACGCACAGGGCACGCCGTCTGGCAAGTCGACATGCGTCACGACTCATCGATATTCATATTTACCTTTAAAAATGTCTTTGCATGGAAACTGACACCCGTGACTTATTTGACGGGACCTCCACAGGCTTTCCGTGGACAATGCGTTAATAGGTCATATTTCATGAATGCGATGATTTCATTGACAAATACCTACAGTACAGTGCTCAGGAAACACCGTCTGGCAGTTTCGTGTGCATCGGAGCTCGTAAAATGGCTTATTTAGCATAAAAACGCACTGTCCACGGAAAGCCTGTGGAGGCCCCGTCAAATAAGTTACGGTGGGCATGCACCCACACGGGTGAATGTCACCAAAATCCAAATTCCAACATCAGCAAGTGACAGCTATAACTTATTTGAGGGGGCCTCCACAGGTTTTCCGTGGACAATGCATTAATAGGTCATATTTCATGAATGCGATGATTTCATCGGCAAATACCTACAGTACAGTGCTCAGGAAACACCGTCCGGCAGTTTCGTGTGCATCGGAGCTCGTAAAATGGCTTATTTTGCATAAAAACGCACTGTCCACGGAAAGCCTGTGGAGGTCCCGTCAAATATGTTACGGGTGTCACTTGACCACCTCTAACTTATTTGACTTGCTTTTTTTTTTTAATGGGATAGATTGTACGTGGGACGTCCAGAATCTCGGCTTCTGGACGAGCTGTCCAGCTCAAACCCTGTTCCGGGGCTACTCTGGACACGCCTTGTCCATGCTGTGAATTGCAACAAGATCCGAGAAACTCTAGATATATCCACTTCCCTAAAAAGGGTTAGGCCATCAAATCCACGGAGCGCTTAATAGGTGGTAAGTGGGCAGGCTGTCCGTGGGATGCTGCGCCACGCCCCCTAGGTGATTTTTCCTGCCCCCGACGACTGCCCGGGCGCCGAGGGGAGGCCCGGCGGCACACACCGAAGGCGTCGGCTAGATCCTGGGGCCCCCAGGGGCCCTGCGGAACGGCCCTCCGTTTTAGTGCATTTTGTTGCAATCTGTCAATCGGCCACAAGCAGGCAGGCTCCTAGCCACGGACAGCCTATTCATCCCCCTTACCACCTATGTGACCACGAAAAGCCTATTCATCCCCCTGACCACCTATGTGACCACACACGCCGAAGGCGTCGGCTAGATCCTGGGGCCCCCCGGGGCCCTGCGGAAAGGCCCTCCTTTTTAGTGCGTTTTGTTGCAATCTGTCAATCAGCCACAAGCTGGCAGGCTCCTCGCCACGGACAGCCTATTCATCCCCCTTACCACCTATGTGACCACGAAAAGCCTATTCGTCCCCCTTACCACCTATGTAACCACGAACTGCCTATTCGTCCCCCTGACCACCTATGTGACCACGAACAGCCTATTCGTCCCCCTAACCACCTATTTGACCACGATGGGCCCCTAGGCTACCACCGTACCGAATTTCGAGGTCCTGTGACCTTTTGACCCCTGTATACCCAACATCCCACTTGCAACTTATTCAATGGGAACTTCACAGGTGGTTCGCGGTCAAGGG